TCTTTGGCGCATCTGGTGGACTCAAATTGCTGACCTTTTGGTTAGCACACAAACTCATAACCCATTATGATACCCGGGCTCCCTTCTTCCTAGTCCATCGTAAATCTGCAGAGTGTCTTACAACACACGAACCACAGAAAAGAACATTAAAACGGGGTTCTGCAGGCTGGGCCCAACCCTATCTACAGGTGGCGGCACCTTGGACTTTCTGGGTTTCCATTTCAAAATAAAGCCCACTCATAAGATGGGAAATTTGTGGAGATACATTTGTAGCATTTCACATAAATAATATTGTTTTCATGAGGAAATAAGATAATAAACCTAAAGGAATTTATGGATTTGGGGGACCATATTGTTTCTGTATTTCAAACAGCTTCTTGCTGGCTGTGTTCCAAGCGTTCATATGTGTTGTAGTCAAAGTGGTCAAACACCATTTTATACTAACATTAAGTTTATTTTTTACAATTTTTATTAAAATCATTTTTGTGCCAGTTGTAAATGATCTTTTTATTACAGAGTCCTAAATAGGAATACTAGAAAATTCAGACAAGCAAAACTAAAATACATCATATTCCCACCCTCCACAGATAATATGTGAAGGGGGAAAGGGTGTGTGTATCAGAGAGAGAGAGAGTGAGTATATTGTATGTTGAAAAGAGAGTTGTTTTTAAACAAAACAAAAATGAGGTCACACTGTTTGATAAAAATTCATCTCATCTAATCCCAAATCCAGGTGTGGTGCTGTGGGATAATGCACTGGACTTCAAGGTTGGCAGTTCAAACTCAGCAGCTGCTCCTAGGAAACCCTGTGTTGTTGTTGTAAAGTACTGTGGAGTCGATTCCGACTCATAGTGACCCTGCAAAGGGTTTCCGAGGCTGTAAATCTTTACAGGAGCAGAAAGGCTCATCTTTCTCCCGTGGAACAGCTGGTAGTTTCGAACTGCCGACCTTGGGGTTAGCAGCCCGATTTATTACCACTACGCTACCAGAGCTCCTTAGGAAACCTTATACAGGGTCCTTATGAGTCAGAACTGGCTTGATGGCACTTAACAACAATAATAACTAAAAACAACATGGCAGAAGTGCTGTATTATCCTCAAATGAGGCTGCATGCTGAGTCTGCCCCATTCTTGGTGATGCTAAATTTGATTACTTGGTTTAATGTGGTACCTGCCACTTTCTCACTCATAAAGGCACTTTTCTTCTTGCAATGTAATAAGTCATCTGTGTTTTGGTACTCTAAAACTGCACATTTCTGGACAACTTTCTATCCACTGGTTTGAATGAATTATTACAGTGGTGTTTTTAAACAATGGCTTTCTAAATCTAAAAATTCTAACAAAAGTAGCATAAAGGATCAAATCAAAATACCATCTCTGTTGCCCCTGAGTGGATTCCGACTCCCACACGCCTCTAGGACAGAGTACAATGGCCCAATAGGATTTCCAAGGCGGCCACAGCTTTTCTCCTTTTGTTCTGCTGGTAGGTTTGAACCTGCGACCTTTCAGTTATCAGCCAGGTTATTGGCTTATTAACCATGGCAGCACTATGACTCCTTGAAAGATCAAAGTAGGAGTTACATCTGTATTCTCATTTTCTCATTACGAAGTGTTCTGTGCTCCTGGTTTAAAATCACCATTGATTCATGGATGTTAACAATGCAGTATGTTGGTTTGAGCGAATTATGTGACAGTTTACATGGGAGAACATTAGTTTTACATTCATCCTATCATATATCGTTTCATTGCCATGGTTACAATCCCCTCCATGCATCATCAACCAACCAAAGGGTGTACACTGCGAGCCTGCCCCCCTGTCATCAGCACACAGCCCACCTCCTTCTCTGGATCTGTAGTCCCCAGCCGCTCCATCTCTCCATGTCGTCGTCTCTGCCTCTATCTCAGGTGTCACTGCTTCCCTGGTAGGGTCCCGCTCTCTGCTCTTCTCCCTTGATGGTCCCAGGGACCTCTGCTCCTAGACTGCGAAGTTAATCACTCCCCTTCTTTTGCTACAAAACATCTACCTTTACTGTCCAACCCTCACAATCAGTCCTGATAACAATTATTTACTATTGTATCACAAGAGACCTATCCACATTTCTTTTCGTCAACCCCGCCTAGCCAGATTGGATACTACTCAATGGAGATTCTACCTTCCTTCACGCCCTCTAGATATAGGGTCCCTCTTGAAAGCTTGTAAGCCAGTCACTTCTTGCCTTTGTAGGTACTCCATCCATTACCATTTGGGTAGCCGATGTCCAAGTTGCCCAGCCCTGTCTACTCTGTGTATGGAGGGGGTGGGAATGATCCTCGCTGTAAAGATTTCTTCCATCTTTTGAGCTACTGCATCCATAGGTGTAGGTCAAGTTCATCGACTTGTATCAGATTTGTATCAGATTACTCTTCGTTTCCCTCTTCTTTCCTCTTCTAATTGAGCTCTGATCATCCAGTCATTGAAACCAGGTCAAGTGGGTATTATCTGCAAGTGTGGGTGTTCTTATGCATATGTTCTCACTTTTTATCAGCTGGATGCTTCACTCTCCACTCTAGTCCTCTGTGGCTATGTCACTGACTCTGGGCCCATGAGTCCCCAGGTCTTGCTACAATGCTGGCCAACCAGGACTCCACCCGGGTTCACAGGAGTCTATTGAACATTGTAGGGCTTAGCTCGCCGCTCCATTGCTGTTTTTCCCTCACTTCACCTTATCGGTGATGATAAGCGTGTATTCACATTGAGTCTTATCATGGAAGGGGGTTAGCTCTAAGGGGACCCGACCACTTGCCTTGATGTCTCCTGGGTGAGCAACTTGCTTGTCCTTGTAGTAATCAGTCGGTCTGCCTATATTGTTTTGTATTTTTCCTGTCAGTCTTTCTTTCTTTCAAGAAGTATCTTCTGTTCTTCTAGCCGCTCCAGGCTGGTCTGCCTGTCCTTTCAAGAGGAAATATCCCACCTATGAAGATTCTGGATGCTGTTCAGGATTCCACCTATAGTCTTATGTAATGCAGAGGCTCTGCAGGAAGTCAGGATTCAAAAGACAGCCAAGCATCTTAACATTATTTTCCCCCTTTTCCCATTCCAACCATGTCTCAATCCCTGTGTCCCAGAGCCCTGTTGTTCCAAGGTTGTGCATACATCATTATTTACCTCTGTCCCACTTAGCCCATGCAAACCTGCCTAATTGTTTTCCTGTCCGCTTTGTTCTTCAATTCCACTTCCCCTTCTTGTGTATTGCCCCCCTCCCTAGCACTCAAACTATCCTGTGTCTATTCCCTGCCCTGTGCTCCACCTTCCCCTCCCTGCCCTCAGAGCCCCCCCCCCCCCCCCCCCCCCCCCCCCCCCCCCAAATCCCAGTAACCAGCAAAGAATGGATTAGTATGGATTCTTTTTCTTAGTCTTTTACAGTAGTGGTCCTATGCAGTATTTCTCCTTTTGTGGCTGACTAATTTCACTCAACATAATGTACTCAAGTTTCATCCATGTTTTGCAGTGGCTTGCATCTTTCTTGCTGTTCTTCAAGTAGCATAATATTCCATTGTCTGTATGTACCAACTTCAGTTGATGAGCACTTTGGCTGTCTCCATCTTTTTGCTATTATAAATAGTGCTGCTATGAACATTGGTGTGCATATATCTACTCGTGTTGTGGCTCGTATTTCTTGTGGGTAAATACCAAGTAGAGGGACTTGCTGGCTCATATGGTATTTCTATTTCCAACCTTCTGAGGAAGCACCATACTGCTTTTCAGAGAGATTGGACCATTTTGCAATCCCACCAGCAATGCAGGAGTGTCTCAGTCTCTCCACATCCCCGCCAGCATTTATTGTCCTCTACTTTTTTGAACTTTGCTATTATTACTGGTGTGAGATGATATCTCATTGTTGTTTTGATTTGCATCTCTCTTAATGGCTAGTGATCGTGACCATTTCTTCATATGTTTGTTGGCTGCCCAGATTTCCTCCTTGGTGAAGTGTCTGTTAATGTCCTGTGCCATTTTTTAATTGGGTTATTTGTCTTTTTCTTGTAGAGGTGTTGTAGTTTCCTATCTATTTTAGAAATAAGTCCTTGTCTGATGTGTCATTGCAAAAGATTTTTTCCCATTCTGTGGGTTCCCTTTTTACTCTTCTGGTGAAGTCTTTTGATGCACATAAATTTTTAATTTTCAGTGTGTCCCACTCAAACATCGGATGTTTGACCGATTGGAGTCCCTTCTAAGTTGGCTCCTTGGCCCGCTGTCTAGTCTGTCATTTTCCGTTTTTGAGTACCTTCTTTCTGTCACAATAAAGTGTTCCTTGTGTTTCCCTACCCCAAACTCTAGTCCCTTTTTGGAACTTGTGGAAAAGACCAGCTAGTTTTTCTCCTTCCGATTTGTTTAGATACTTGTTTGTATTCTTTTTAGTTGATTCCTCTAACTCTGCATGGTGAAAGTAGCATCTAAAACATGATGAATTCTAGCTGAAAGGCATGGGTGTGGTAATTCCACTGCAGTGCAATAGAAAGTACACCATCTAGCTGTCCCACCATAAGCAATGCCACGGCTGCTTAGATGCATCTAAGTTTTTCCGAGTTGCTTGTTAATTCTCCTTTTACATGAGATAGAGAGTGAAAACCTTTGATCCTTGAACCCTTAAAGGTCATTTGAAAGAAGCAGTTATTGTCTAATCTATTAAGATTTAAGGAGTCCTGTTCTGGTGCTGTGGGCTAATGTGTCAGACTGCAAAGTCGTTTCAACTGCAAGGTCCATGGTTCAAGCTCACCAGCTGCTCCTTGGAAACCCTATTTGGGGTCCCTATGGATCAGAACCGACTCGATAGCACTTAACAACAACAACAACATTAAGATCTGCAAATACCATTAAGACCCTTACCTAACCTGAAATTTTTGGGGTCAAGGGTGGGTGGCCTCGCTGACATTCAAGGAAGTATTGATTGCATAAATATTTAAATTTCTTAAATTGTAATCCTTTTTTTCCCCCCTTTTCTCTCCTTTCTTTGTTGTTAATAGTTGGACAGAGGGAGTCTGAAGATGTGAATGACAAAGATTCAAATAAAGAGATGGCTGCTAACTCGGCAGTTGTGCAGGACACCACAAAGGATGGGCAGGAGGAAAGACCGGAAATAATAGAGCAAATTCCTTCCTCTGAAACCAATTTCGAAGAGTTAATGCAACCTGCTGAGTCCCAGTCGAATGATGTTGGATTTAAGAAAGTATTTAAGTTTGTTGGCTTTAAATTCACTGTGAAAAAGGATAAGTCCGAGAAGGCTGATGCTGTCAACCTCCTCACTGTTAAAAAAGATGAAGTCGAAGGAGCAGGAGGCACCAGTGGGGCTGGTGACCACCAGGAATCCAGTGCGGAGGCTAAAGAAGCTGCTCCCAAGGAAAGCGAACTGAAGCAATCTACAGAGAAACCCGAAGAAACCGTCCACAGTGAGCCAGGCAACAATGAAGTCACCCTTAAAACCAAGTCTGACCAAGCAGCAGAAGAAAGCAAAGAAGGAGACGAAGAACCTAGCAAATCTCCAGAATCTCCAGGCAGTCCAACCACCAATGAGACGGCATCACCCTTCAAAAAATTCTTCACCCAAGGTTGGGCGGGCTGGAGAAAAAAGACCAGCTTTAGGAAGCCAAAGGAGGAAGAACTGGAAGCGACAGAGAAGAAAAAGGAAAAAGAGCCAGAAAAAGTAGACATGGAAGAAAATGGAAAGACAGAGGATTCCTCTGAGAAACCAAATGCTTCTCAGCAGCCCCCAACACAGGAGGAGGGGGAAAGAGTTAAGGAAGCCAGGTTATCAGCAGAGTATGAAAAAATAGAGCTCCCCTGTGAAGATCCCATTACTGACATGCAGGGACCTTCGGAAGAAAAGCCCGCTCCTTTAGCAACAGAAGTATTTGATGACAAAGTAGAGATTGTTGCAGACGTCCACGTGACGACTGAGGAGAAGACACCAGAGGAGCAAAAAGCTGAGGTTGAAGTAGCAGTCGAGTCCGTGCCACCTGAGAAACCGGTCGACGCCAGTGCTGAACTTCAGGAAGTCGAGCCTACAGAGGAACCAGTAAAGACTAAAGAAGTGTGTGTCCCCGGAGAGGACGAGACCCAACTAACTGAACTAAGTCCTGAAGATAAAGCGCCCTCAAAACTCCCAGAAGGCATTGTGAGTGAAGTGGAAATGCTCTCAGCACAAGAGAGAACTAAAGTGCAAGGAAGCCCCTTAAAGAAACTTTTTACTAGTACTGGCTTAAAAAAGCTCTCTGGAAAGAAACAGAAAGGAAAAAGAGGAGGTGCAGAGGGAGAGTCAGGGGATCACAGCCAAGTTCCCGCAGAGTCTCCAGATAGTGCAGATGAACAAAAGGGCGAGAGCTCTGCCTCCTCCCCTGAAGAACCTGAGGAGATTACCTGTCTGGAAAAGGGGATAGCAGATGCACAGGCCGATGGGGAAGCTGAGGAAGGTACTACTTCTGATGGAGAGAAAAAAAGAGAAGGCGTCACTCCCTGGGCATCTTTCAAAAAAATGGTGACACCCAAGAAGCGTGTTAGGAGGCCTTCAGAAAGCGATAAAGAAGATGAACCGGACAAGGTAAAGAGTGCGACCTTGTCTTCCACTGAGAGCGCAGCCTCTGAAATGCAGGAGGAAATGAAAGGAAGCGGAGAGGAGCAGAAGCCGGAAGAACCAAAGCGCAAGGTGGACACGTCAGTGTCTTGGGAAGCATTAATTTGTGTAGGATCATCCAAGAAGAGAGCAAGAAAAGGATCCTCTTCCGATGATGAAGGGGCCCCCAAAACAGTGGGAGGAGACAGCCACAAAACGGATGAAGCAGGAAAAGAGAAAGAAGCAGGGACAGACAGTCTCCCTGCTAGTTCCCAAGAGGCTGACCAAGGCCAAGGAAGCTCCTCACCAGAACAAGCTGGAAGCCCTTCTGAAGGCGAGGGAGTTTCCACCTGGGAGTCATTTAAAAGATTAGTTACTCCCAGAAAAAAATCAAAGTCAAAACTGGAAGACAAAAATGAAGAGTCTGTCACTGGGTCTGGTGTAGAAACTTCCGCTTCAGAGCTGGAGCCCGGGAAAGAAGAGTCTTGGGTTTCAATTAAGAAATTTATTCCCGGACGAAGGAAGAAAAGGTCAGATGGGAAACAAGAACAGGCCACCATTGAAGACACGGGCCCAACAGAAGTCAACGAAGACGACTCTGACGTCCCAGCTGTAGTACCTCTGTCTGAGTACGATGCCGTAGAACAGGAGAAAATTGAGGCCCAGCAAGCCCAAAGGAGTGACGAGGAAGTTGAGCAGAAGGAGGTTGTGTGTGTGTCAGAGGAGCACAGCAAGAGTCTGGTTCATACGGTGACAGTGACAGTGGTAGATGGGGCCCGGGCAGTCACCAGTGTTGAAGAGAGGTCTCCCTCTTGGATATCTGCATCAGTGACAGAACCTCTGGAACCAGCAGAGAACGAAGCCAAGCCATCAACTGAGATGGTCCTTGAACGAGAGGTTCCTGCAGAAGAAGTTCCCAGCACTACCACAACTTTGCCAGAGAGCAAAGATGCCGGTGATGAAACAGTTGCTAGGGAGGAGCCATTAACCACCGACGCTGGGACCACCGCAGAGGCGACGGAGGCGTTTAGTGCTGAAGAAGTAACAGGAGCCTCTGGCGCAGAAGAGACCACAGAAATGGTGTCCGCAGTTTCCCAGCTCACCGACTCACCAGACACCACCGAGGAAGTCACACCAGTTCAGGAGGTTGAAGGTGAGGTGCCGGACCTTGAAGGCCTAGGGAGACGAACCCAAGAGGTCCTGCAGGCAGTGGCAGAAAAAGTGAAGGAAGAGTCACAGCTGCCTGACTCCAGTGGGCCAGAAGACACAACTCAGGGCCCCCCGAAGGTAGAATCTACAATACCAGAGAAGGTGGGAGGAGAAGAGGAGGACTTGACAGGACTTGATGAGAAGACAGAGGCGGCTGCTGTGTTGAAAGTACACGGACAAGAAACTAAGACTGAGAATTTCATCCAAGGGAAGGTGATCGCTGAGACCATCCCAGAAAGCTTTGAGAAAGTACCTCAAGTCCCAGAGACTGCACGATGCAGTGATCTTGTAAATACCTCTTCAGTGGAAACTTCAGCTGCAGTCAAATCACAGATGATGATGGGGCAGGCTGTTAGCCCTGACTCCGTTGAAACCCTCACTGACAGTGAGACCAACGGAAGCACAGCAGTAGCAGATGTCCCGAATGCAGCACAGCGAGACAAGATCAAGGAAATCCATGAAGATGCTGAGGTTGTGTCTCATATACAGTCAGAGCTCGAAGAAGCAGAAGCTATCCCCGCACAAAAAGAGATGCCTTCCAGTTTTCAATCTCAGGAAGAAAGTCGAGAACAATCAAAAACAGAAGAAGCTCTAGAACATACAGATAAAGAGCTATCCGTGGAAACTCAACCCATCCTTTCGAAGACTGAAGTGATTCCAAAGGCTGACCAATTTGCCCACGAGAAAACCAAAGCCGCACCCTTTGCCGAAGGACCTGAGGTGTCTGCAGACACAGAAGTAACCATCAGTCAGAAAAAAATAACAGAAATTGTCCACGAAGGTGAAGTTACTGAAACGGCTGAATTTCAAGAGACTTTTGCTCATTCTGATAGTTTTGGACACCAGAGTCACACTGAGTCTGTCTTGGCCCCAGTTCAAATCGAAAGCGAGAAGATTGAAGCACAGCCAACCCAAGTCAGTGAAGAGAAACTTGAGCAAAAAACAGTTGCAACCATGTTGGAAGAACTCAGTAAGCGGCCAGTTCAGACAGTTTCTGTGACTGTTGTAGATGGAGCCAATGAAGTGACCGGTTTTGAAGAGCGCTCCCCTTCCCTAGGTCAAGAGGAGGCAGTAGTATCCACAGAAATTAAGGTTCAAAGCTCTGATGCATCGTTAACGCTGACTGCCGCAGCCACAGAGGAAAAGGTTGTAGTAGGAGAAACTATCAAGATGTTAGAAACAGAAGCTGAAACGTTGGAGTCTGCAGAGGGACACTTAGCACCTGAAGAAAACCCCTCGGACAAAGACATTACTGCTCCGACAGGAGAAGGGGCCGTGGGGACGGGGTCTCCAGCAGAATCAGGACCAGTAATAATACCTGCATCTGCTGAGAAAAGAGTGTGTTCTGACTTGGAAGGAGATACAGCCACATCAGCAAAGGGGAAAGTGGATGAAGACAGCCAACAGGTTGTTGGTCAGGAAGTCAGCGTGAGCCTAACACAAGAGGATGATTCAAAGGTTGAGAATGAGATTCGGGGACTTGAGAGTGAGAGCAGTAAACTGGTACAAACTATCATTGAAACGGCTGTTGGCCAGTTGGCAAGGACAGAAGGAGCATCTGACTCAGAGGCACAGACTCAAGCTACCAACCAGGAAGCTAGACAGGAGACAGAGAAAGAAGAAAGTGAACATCAGGCCTCTGCACAGGCTGAAATACAAACTACTGCAACCAAAGAAGGCTGCGACAGAGCCCCTCATCCTGATATTCCCACAGATGGGAGTGAAGTGTCAGAAAAGGTCAGGACCATTGAGGTAGAAGGTGCTAGCATAAATGACCAGCAGCAGCTTGAAGTGGTCCTCCCATCAGAGGAAAAGAACGATGATGCATCAGAGTCTTCATCAGAAGAGAATGCAAATGCTGAGTTAGGAGAAACCGCGAGATCACTGTTGGAATCCAAAGGGACTGAGGAAGGAGACACCATTGATGACCAGGAGAAGCAAAGCTCCACCCTGGAAGAGACTGATGCCACCGGAGACATAAGCAAAGAGTCCCCAGATACAAACGGACCAAAACTGAAAAAGAAGGACGACGTCCAAGAAGGAGAATTTCCAGAAGGAAAAGTGCAGAGCGGGTCAGAAAAAGATGCCAGAACACCCCCCCAAGAGGAGATACACAAGCTAGAGAAAGAACCTGAAAAATCAGAGCTTACCAAATCCTCAAACATGGCGTAAGTAAACATTCTTCTCTGTTGAGGTTTTTTGGTTTTCTTTTACGCCATTTGGTGGCAAGTTTGTTAATAAACATCCTTTTCTGTTGAGATGGGTTTTCTTCTTTTTATGCCATTTGGTGACAAACTTGTAAATAAAGGAAGCCAGAGTTCAAATATTTGTCATTTTATGTAGGCCCTTTGGCCAGAAAAATAACTATCAACTAGATTAGCGCTTCAATGATAGTTTCATTTTTTTTCTTACTGAAATACAAGGGAGCTTCCAAAACGATTGTGGAAAAAAATCCCATTAGGTTTTAATTCCATTTTCCCACAAACTTTTGGGGACCACCTCCCTGCCCCCCCGTGCTGTTTGTTTTTGGTGTTATGAAAATAATGGCTTCCTTTATCTGCAATGGGACAGCTTTAGAAGAAAATTCACGGTGGGAAGAGAGTGTGTACCAGTGGCTGAAAGACATACAAATCTCATGTCATGCCTGCCCCGCACCATACCATCTAGTTTGTTAATTTTTTTTTTTTTTAATATAACTTGAAGCCAAACATGGGTTTATCTCATACCGCTGAAAATTGAGTTGAGAGTTCTCCAGAAAGTGATGGGTTTTCTCCTTCACTTGTTACAATCTTCATTATTATATTTCCCAGAGCCTGATGGTTGGATGTCGGGAAACCCCAGGTCCTAGTTTTGTGGGAGCATAGCATGAGTCCACGCCATCTTGGTGTCTCATTGAGCTAAACTGCACGCTACTGCTAGCATTTGCAGCTGTTCACAGCCCATACCCCCAACTGTTTGGCCCATTTGTGAATGAAGGAGAAAGAGATTCCATTGACTTTGATTCTTTCTTCCTCCTACAGATAAACTCAAGGCATAGTGTCAAGACCAGAATGTGAAGACAAGAAGTAGACGACAATGAATGTCTCTGCTGCTGCTGAAACTCAAGACCAACATTTCAGAACTCTGAAAACCCACGAACAGGCCCGGCGACTGATGTCACTCCTAGAGACCCCCTGACAATCCCGAGGCTTCACCGGGAGCGTTCGCTGTTTCACACTTCCCTTCTCCAGATTGTGACTTTCCTTGCCACCATATAATGTGTCTGATTTAAAGTCCTCAATTCTTAATCTAGAACTGGAGTTGGCAATACCTAGATCTGCTTCTCAAACTGGAGTAACATTCTTTGTGTATTTATACGTATGTCCTGAGTAACCCTTCTGTATCTCGTGTATATTTTTTTCCTTAATGTTGAAGGAACTGTGCACTATAGTAAATGTCTTTTGTATCACAATACCCTACGGGCACATAGCCACAGGGAACCCCTGGAAGCTTTCAGCCTCAATTCTATACCGATCTTCCGGAAATAACATTCTTGAACAAAGGGTACATTTCTCTTCTTAAGCATTTCACCAATGAGTAGGTTAATGTTGTAGCATTACTCTAAAACTGGTCACATTTCCATTCTGCACACTATGTTAAGAACTCCAAAGCGTCTTTGAAATGGACAGAATGTCCCATTATTACTGTGAAATTTTTCCTTCAGACCCAGTGGAGGTTGTGAGGAAGCATTTTCCAGCAGCAGATCCACTCGGAATCCTTTCTCCCGAGTATTAGGATGGTTTGAACAGATGTGCTTACTCCTGAGACAAAGTAGTGAGATGTTTTTCCTGTTACGAATTCAAGACTGGACTGTGGTCAAGATTTTGATTCCACTCTTACGTGCTCACACACAGCTGGCGGGAGGGCGGCTTCTTTAAAGATAGTTTCTTGGTAAATGCTGGGTTGTGTGTCATACTTGTGCCCACTCATTTACGAACAATGTTCCATTATGTTCATTTGAATAAATGGTGATTTGACAAATGAATAAAACATTTGCTTCACTTAGATTTGCTGGTTTTATTAGAATTGTAGGAAGCCTGGGATGCAGATTTGCTCAAACTTGCTAGTCTTGGAGTGACTACCTGATCACATGACTCTACATGGGTTTGAGATCCATGGCGAGGACTTGGGAACAGTGATGCATCTTGTCAGACTGACGTTACGGGGGCACTTCGACCAGGTGGCATCTTCCTGTGTCAAGATTCCTGGTTTTACTTTGGAGAAGAACAAGACTCATATTTCTAGAAAGAAATTTTGAAGTCTTATTAGTAGGAATGCTTTGCCTAAAATACGAGGCGATCTTGAAAAAAATTTTAGAGTCACAGTAACATAGTATTTTGTCAGGCAAGTGTCACAGGTATAATCTGTCAAGTAAACTACTGTAGAGTACTTTTCACACCTAGAATTGGCCTGGTATATAGTTGGACTTCTGGTGTGGCGTTGCCAGTTAATGCGGTAAACTGCAACGTCGGTTTGGGCCATTAAGGCTGGCAGTTCTAACTCACCAGCTGCTCCTTGGAAACCCTGTTCAGGGTCGCTATGCGTCATATCCTTACTCAATGACACTTAGCAACAGGTAACAACAGCAGTAGTCTGTTTAATTTGACTGAGGAAACAACTCATTCCTCCGGTTTGAGAATTTAATCTCAACTTCCAGAAAGCATACTATTCTAGGAAGAAAAGTTGATAAACAGCCACTTGTGCTTAATTATGAAACTTTAAGATCCCCAAAATGAAAAGCTCTGATCTAAATTAGTTCCTTCTTTCACCAACTTGAGGCTTTGAGGTGGGGGGCAGGAATCAGGATCTGGTATCCATTTTTGCAGGTCAGCTAACACACATTGGAGATGCCAGCAGTTTGTAAGAACTTCATCACTACTGTGAATATTGAATGTCCTCTCTACAGCAGGCGGAGTCTTTTGTGTTGTTTTCTAACCAGATAAAGATTTATGTCATTTGTGGAAAGATTTTCTATTTAAATTCCATCCTGCCACCATATTCCGTTCGAATTTGATCTTGTGTTCCCACATGTGGCCTGGTCACTCTGGCCATGGCGGTTGGTTTTCCAGTCTTAGTTGCTTGTTTCCTGTACTTTTGTGCTAATATCTGAATGTTTCAGTCCTGGATGATTTCTGTGCTAGCTCGTTACCTATGTCTGTTAAGCAACCTGGCTGTATTCACAACAGGAATATATCAACATTAGTATGAAATAACAATTCTGTTTTATATTTCTAAAGCTGCAGCTGATTTTGAAGTACACAATAACCAAATGTAAACTGCAAGACATTGGAGCAAGTGCCTGCATTTTGCTATTTCTGGCATTACTACGGGGCCATGTACGATAGAAAACAAGACGTGCAAACTCACCACATCTTGTATTTGAAGAATATAAAATGTTCCCCTCAGGTTATTTTGCTAATGGTACATGTGAGTTACCTCGCTCTGTACACTTTGTTCCAATATTTTCCTCTGATGTTTGGAACTATATAACAGTTAAGGACTGGAAATTTTCAATATCGCTGTTACGTTTTAATGCAGTTTCTTATAGTCTAGGGCAATATTTGATTCCTAGCTCTGTTTGGGGGCAATTTTTCATTTCTCTGAATAAAATACAGTCGAATTAAATGCTATGGATTTTCTTTCTGGAATTTCATCTTGATTCCATTTTACTGCTTTTCTCTTGACTGTTCCGATGCCCATCACACATTTAGTTCTATTTTCATTTATTTAGCCACTGTATACAGAGCATTATGGGAGTTTGACGTGTATCTGGGGTTTAGGTGAAGGTGCAAAGATTCTTAACCGTTTTGCGCCAATTAGAATCTCACTGAATCTCCCAGTCCCTAAGTAAACACTGTATATACAATCTCTAAACAAACACTGTATATTCAATTCCTGGGTAATATGATAGCGCATCCAACAGCCAGTTATAAACCCTTTGTCTAAATCTGTTAACATGCTATTGACTCGTTCCAACTCATGGCAACTTTGTGTAGTAGGGTTTCCAAGGAGTGGCTGGTAGTCTTGAACCATCGACCTTGTGAGCAGTCCAGTGCTTGTCCTCCAGTGCCGCACTAGGACTCCTTAACTACAAGAAAGGACATGGGCACGGTCCTAGAATCCCCAATAGTAAGAGGCTAGACCTTGAGCAAAAAACCAATGGCATGGAAACCGAAGTCTGGTGGTATTCTGGAAGTAGGTCTGATGACAACCTGGCCCATTTTTTGTGCAAATGCCATGTGACCAGTTTCCTTGACTACCACGTGCCCTACCATCCCCAGCTTATGACAGTATTTGCATTGACAAATGATCCTGGGCCCTCCATTCACATAGGAGAAAACGAGCCTCAGAGCACCTACTACAACACCCAGAACTAGAGATTGGCACGGTCCAGTTTTCTCACAAACTTTTTTGAAGTCTCAGAAAATGAACAGTTTGATATCTAAACAGATTTGTAAGCTGGAGTCCTGGGGTGGCGCTGTGGGTTAACATGCCAGACTGCAAAGCTGTTTGAACTGCAAGGTTGAGTGGTTCAAGCTCATCAGCTGCTCTTCACTATAGGTCGGAACCAACTCAACAGCACTTCACACACACACACACACACACACACACACCCCTAACAACAGATAACCTCTGCAGTGTATTACAATTATGAGGATGCTTATCTTTTAACTTTGCCATATGCCTCCATTGTTTCTTGACATAAAAATGTCAACACTTGTTATGTGCCGTGGTGTCGGTTCCAACTTATAGCAACCGTGTACACACTTCCCAAGGCTGTAAATCTTTACTGGAGCAGAAAGCATCATCTGTCTCCTGCGGAACAGCTGATGGCTTCGAACTGCTGACTGTGAGATTAGCAGCCCGATTCATAACCTCTATGCTACCAGAGGCTCCTTTTAACACTACTGGGTAGTTTTTCATCTAACTACTTAAGAAAAGCTTCAGGATCCTGCTCACATTTGGAGACCAGACGTGGAGTTGTGGTTTGCTGTTGAGGCAATTCCGACCTCATGTATGCAAAGTAGATCTGCTCTGTTGGGCTTTTCAAAGCACAGTGCCAGGCCTGGCTTCTGAGGTGCTTTTGGGTAGGTTCAAAACTTCAACCTTTTGACTAGTAATCTAGTGCTTAA